TGCTGGAGCCTGTCCCAGGTTCCGGGATTTAGCTGACTTTCCAAAGTGGCTGGAATGTAATGGATTTCACAGGGGGTGTGGGGGTGTACAGGGAGCCACCCACGAAGCTGCACGGGTGTGGGCACCAGGAGCAGGGTGGTTTCAAAGTGTGCTTCCTGGACGGGGAGCCTCAGGTCACAGGGCATGCCTTCCTTATAAATGCACATTAATGGTCCACCCCGAGTCCTCTGAATCCGAAACTTGGAGGATGGGATCTAGAGACGTGTGTTTCCACAAGGCCCCAGGCAATTCCCAGGCCTGCTGACCTTTGACGGTCTTGCCACTGAAATCTAGTCCAGAGCCATCAGTGTCCCGTGGAAGCGTGTTAAAAATGCAGACTCTCGCGTCCAGTGAGCTGATAGGATATATTTTGTAATCAATGTATTGGATATTACTTTTCCCCTTTACAGGCTTATTTTTAAAGCAGGAAATAAAAAGTGTTACTGGTGTGTCGTAAAAGCTCTTTGCTGCCGAGTCGATTCCAACTGAAGACAGCGCCTTAGACATCAGAGAAGCCCCTGCGCCGTTCGGACTCTGCCGGCTGTGCACTTACAGAATTCCATTGCCAAGCCTTTCTTCTGAGGCCCTCGAGGTGGATTTGAACCATTCACCTTTTGGCTAGTAGCTAAGTGCTTAACTGTTTGAACCACCAAAGACCCTTCCAGCGTCTCCCTGGACATCTCTATGACCACATTCAAGCATTTGGGATTGTGAACTAAGACACTTTTCTTTTCAAGGTATATACATGTAGATCCCATATACCTATAGCTATACATGTATATCCCATATACCCAGCTTGATCTACAATTGTACAATTCCAAAATCTCAAATCAAACTCAAGGCCATTCAACCAATTCTAACTCCTAGTGACTTAAGGACAGGCTAGAACTGCCCCCTTTGGACTGAGTGATTGTACATCTAATGAGCGTAGAAGGCCTCCCCTTTCTCCCACGGAGTGCCTGGTAGTTCAGAATTGCTGCCCTTGGAGTTAGAAGCCCAACGTGGAGTTGACCAAAGCTCCAAGTAAGTGTGTGTGTGTGTGTGTGTGTGTGTGTGTGTGTTATAGAAAACACACTTGAAGGATACATGCCACCATAGTATCTGCAGGACTACTGATAGTTTTTCTTTTTCTCCTTTACTATGTTTTAAGATAATTCATTATGACTTTTTACTGAGAAGAATAGTTTTCAATATTGCCAAGTTTTTGTTATTCTGATTGCTCTATTATTTTACAACTTATTTCACAGCCCTGAATTATGACTTCCAAACACTCAACATAAATGCAGCAGTGAAAATCTGTAGAATTCCTTAACTTTCAACAACAAAACAACCGTCACCGCTTTTTTTAATCTGGTCTGTAAAATGTTTAAATAGCTATAGCTCAAAAAAGGTGGGGCGAGCGGGATTCCACTTTCCTACCTATTTAGTTCTCAAGTTATTTCTGGGGATAACTCATTAGACTGTTCAAAATCTGATAATATTTTACAGCCCAATGAAATCTTTAATTTATAATAGAAGTGACCTCTAGAAGCTCCAAGTTACAAGGAATACACTAAAACAGTGTGTGCTGCTAAAATCATGTCCCCAGGGTCACCATGGCCTAGATAGAATTCCCCTTGACGAAAACCACAACTGCTTATTTTCGGTGGCCTCATTCAAACCCACTGACACGGCTGGAAGAAAAACCCCAGGGCCCACTAGGGTCCAGGAGGGGAAAGATGGGCTTTCTGCTCCCGTGAAGAGTTCCAGGCGTGGGAACCACTCTGTTCTGCGGGGTTGCTATGAGCAGGCACAGACTGAACGGCAGCAAGTCGTTTGAGTGTCCAGGAGGGAAAAATGGCCTCCTTTGTAGTGTCAGAAGCTTTGTTTCCTTGAGGTTCAAAGACGAGTCTGTGAGGGCTGAGCTGTTTGGAACAGGATTTTCTTGATATTTCTAACACTGAACAAGTGCAAGCATCCTCTAGCATGGCACCTCTTGGAAAGCCCAAATGATCACCTTTGTTAAGAGAAACAAAATAAGGCACCTTGAAACTCGACTTTTGTATTTTCCTATCCCGAATATTCTACTCGAGCCCTGGTAGTGCAGTGGTTACACGCGGGGCTGTGATCCACATGGGCGGCAGTTCGAAACCACCCGCAGCAATGAGGGGGAAAGACTGGGTTTTCTGCTCCCATAAGCCGTTCCAGTCTCAGAAACCCACAGGGGGTCACTGCGCGGCAGCACCCAGTGCTTTCGTTTTTGGAGGATTCTACTCCAAGAGACCTGGTTGAGTAGCGGGTTACCAAGGGCAGCTGATCACAGAGGGAGAAGTTTGAAACCACCAGCTGCTCCGTGTGAGCAGTAAGTGAGCACATATGCTATTCTCCCCTTTTGTATGTGCTGTCTTGGTGGGGAAAGATTGGCTTTGAAAGGACACCCATGGTGAGAAAGACCCTCTATTCCTAGAGGTCCCATGTCTTCTGTTGCTTAGAGTTTTCCCATCATCAGAGAAATGGTCTCACAGAGACAAAGAAGTTCATAAAATTCCCAATTCATCCTCAATTATTTGAAAGGCCGTTGGGAAGAGAATGCACTGTAGTCTGTGAAGAAACACTATTAGCGACAGAGGCACTGCCAAACACTTAAATGTTAGTTACCAACCAAATTTTAAACTTTTACTTTAAAGACACGCATTCTTGTACTCAATGATAAACAGCAGGTACTGGGCACTGTCTTCGGTTTGGTTTCCTGGAACCAATGAAGGGCCATTTTTCGAAGAAGTAGTTCATTAGCACCATGTGCTGCGGAGAAAACTGCAGGGCAGTGAGGAATGTGGAATAGGAGAGGGGAAGCAGCTGATGGAAATGTGGTTTCAGCTGAAGGCCAGCCTGACCCCGTGGTGAGATCTGGAGCATGAAGTGCAGCGCAGCGTTTGCCCACCCAGAAGCGAGGGACTCTCTCCCTCTGTTTGTCCTTGGGCCAAGCCCTGGCCCCCTCAGGAAGGAGGACTAATCAGCTGGGTATCTCCAGACAGGGTGGTGCTTCCAATCCCTGCCTAGTGCTCCTGAAAAGGTGCACCTGCCGTCTGTTCCGGCCAATCACCATGGCATCCCCAGAGTGGGTCACCATTTGCTAGACGGCAGATGTCCACCCCAGGTGTGTCAGCTTAAAATGTCTTCATGGGATTTCAGTGACTGATTGTTCCGAAGTAGATTGCTAAGACTTTCAGCAAGTAACAAGTGCATTAACCATTCTCACCACACAGGCACCCTAGGGAGGTGGGTGCACTGCCTCTACAAAGGTAGGGTACCCCAACAGCATCTGTCCCAAGCGTGTGAAGGCAGTGCCATTCACTGTACACGTGTGAACCCTGCTTAGGCTCATCCCTATCACATTCAATCAGGAGGTCCAAGTGGCTGGTGACTTTTTAATCCGCTCAGCAGATGGTAAGCATGGACAGTAGAGGCAGGCATAGTATTGGAACTAAAGCCGCGCCTAGTCTTTGGCTTCAGTTTCTATCATTGGAAATTTTCCTAGGGCTCCATTTACTGCACACCACCCCAGATGAGATTTAGGAAACTTCGTGTCACTTTATATTTGATCATGTGTCTATTACACCTATGGGACATAATACCTAGAATGTAAATAAGCTTGTGGAACGCTGCATTTTTTAGAAAAATGGTTTTCCTTTAATGTCATTATTATCCTCTTATGTTTAATAACTGAAGCCTTGGGTCAATTTCTAGATGTCTGTAAAAAGGGCAAGGGGATAATCATTGGAGTTCTAAAAAAAAATGTACTTCCTGGTAGCTTCTGAAGATATATTTAACATCTACAACTACCCAATAGTAGATGATCAGAAAATAACTGATAATAGAGTGACCTGATGGAAAACTGCAGTCATTAAGGGTTCTGTTACACAAGACTATTTACTGACAGGAAAAGACTCGTATTAAGTAGAAAAAAGGTAAAATAGAATGTGAACATTATTCCATTAAAAAGAGTAATTGTATATATAAATACTATATATACTCCTCATAGTGGTTCAGAATGGTTACCTCTGAATGGCTTTGAATGTTTTCTTTTGAGGTTTTACATTTTTATTTTAAAATTTTTCTTTTAAAATTTACTCATGTACACAAAGCGAAGAACTAGATGGGACTTAGAACCCAACTCCCATCATTTCACAAATGACAAAATTAAGGGGAGAAGAGAAAGGCCGTCAGGATCATATCGCTTTGGTGACACCCGATCACTTGCCCAGTTAGGGTTCGCCACAAAAATGTCACTGTGTATTATTCACCACCCTTATCATTTTCATTTCCTCATCTCCCCCTTGCCCCTCAATTTTTCTTCTGAATATCCAAATGAAATGTAAATAGCTGATTTATATTGCTATTTTAATTTGGTATCACTCCAATAATTGTTATCTTTTATTTTTAAGAAGTCTTGGCAGTCTACATATGGTCTTTATATTTTAAAATTCATCTTTAATATTTATAGACTTTTTCATAATTATTCTTTATATTGTGACATTTAATTTAATTTCTTTGGGAATGTGTGTGTGTACCAATACATGTAAAATACTACAAAGAGTTAACATTTTATGCCCTATCATATTGTCTGGGCCTTGTGCTAAAAACTATGTAAACTATAAAGTCACAAAAGCATGTTTTCAATCCTGCACTTTATACTGAATAAAGCGAAAATGTTAAATAAGTTGAAAATTATCTTCTCTGTGTTGAATGTTTTAATCACTTTTGATCAGGAAAAAATCATGTAGAATATTTCGCTTGAAAAAGCAAGAATTTGTATTATGTGCAGTGTCACAAGATAAGATCCTAGTGGCATCCACAGAGTGCCAACAGAGAATGAAACAGGAAACATTCGATCTAGATATTTGATGACATGATCATGTCTGTCCAGGAAGTACGGGTGGAAACAATGCCTAGTCATGCATAAGACTGGAAGACCCTCTCACCTCCTTCTTAATTTCTTCTTCGTCTTCCAGTGTCAGGGCAGCCAGCTGCTTAGCTCTCTGTTCCATGAGATTCACATATCGGATTGGGTTTGACAAAGCTTCAATCACATCTAAATGGGAAGAAGACATTTCGTATAGCGAGGGCCTTGGAGCTAATAGTCTTCCCTCTGTCCTCTCACCTGCCAACCACCTACCCATCTATCCCTCTATCCATCCATCATCCGTTCCCCATCGCCATTTACCCATCCATCTAGCCAGTCTTCCATTAGTCCATCCAGTATCCTCTGTTCCCCGACCTATCCACTTTATTGATCCTATTTACATACTCATCTCTCCTTTATTTACTCATGTGCCCAAAGGTGGGAATTAGAACCCAACTCCTGTCATTGCACAAATGACAAAATTAAGGGGAAAAGAGAAAGGCCGTCAGGATCATATTTCAATTACTTGCCCAGAGACATGCATTTAATTTCAGTTCAAGACAGTATTTAACAAACAAAGAGGGGTGGGCTGATAGGATCTATGTCTCTAAATTAGGAGGCTGACCTGCATACGTGTCTGGCACGTAATCTTTCACTTCTATGTTGACAAAAACCGCCGGCAGCGTCAGAGGCTGGTTCCTCTCATTCCGCAGACTGACGTAGTGGTACCCTGGAGGGTGATGAGAGTACACAGGTGGCTTACGAATTTTCATTACAATGTTACTGATGACACGTAGGCAGCCATGCGATGTATGTGCTCATTTTAGGTGACACGGGGTAGTACCAGCTACTTCATGCATGACACGGCCCTGACTAATACGGCACTGGTTTCGCCTCATCAAACAAGAGCACATTATCCAGTCTCTCTGGCTTGTGTCCCCTTTTCGAATCACATTCCCGCGCCCCCCATTCTCTTGCCACCAAAGAGATTTCTACACTATTGGGCACAGATGGAATTCTTGACCCAAGTGTTCTCCAGCAATAAGCGGACAGTGCACTATGCAGCGTTCGGCTTTCTCTTCGGCACTCCAGCAGTTCATCATCAATAGAAGTGCTTCCTGGGCATGCAACTCGCAGTCTGCTCGGCAATGCCTCTATCCCTCTCCCCGACAGCTGAAACCCGACAGCCTTGGAGCCCTGTCTAGGGTCACCTTGAGTTGGCGTTAAATGGACAGCAGTGAGTTTTGCTGTTTTGGTTTAAATGGTTTTATTGAGATGTGGTTCACATATAATACAATTCAATAGTTCCTTCATATAAAAAATAGTTATGCAATCATCCCCACAATCAATTTTAGAATTTTTCTTTCGTTCTGACATTCCTTATTATTAGCTCCCTCTTCCCCCC